TTCTGATACTATATATTTGTTGTATTGTCTGAATTATGTATTGAGGAATTTTTAGTTTAATTAATTTATTAGTTAATACATTAATGTTAATGTTGTCATATGCCGCTTCTATGTCTAAGAAAACTGCTATTACATATTCTTTTTTCATGAAACCTTCGTATATTCTATTTTGTAAGTACATTAAATTTTCATTAATGCCTCTACCTTTTCGAAAACCGTTTTGTAGGTCATTAAATGTTTTCTTTTTTTCCAATGCATGTTCCATTCTGTTTTTCAAAATATGTTCAAGTATTTTTAATATACATGAGGAAAGAGATATTAATCTGTAATTTTTTTCAGCATTGGGTAGTTTACCTGGTTTAAGTATTGGGCATACAATGTATCTTTTCCATTCCTCTGGAATAGGATTACCTTCAATAATTTGATTATAAATTGCAATTAGGTTAAGTTTTAAGTTATGGTGTAAATTTTTTATTTGACTGTATTTTATTCCATCCTCACCTGGTGCTGAGTCTTTTTTGTTGTCTAAAACTGCTTTAAATTCCAAATAGGATATAGGTATTTTCTCCTGATTTGGGATTATATGAATCACTGATTGAGATTCTAACGAAATTGACGTTATTGATTCTAAAAATTTGTCTAGATTATCTTTTATAAACCAATTTTGTTTTTGGACGGGGACTAAGCGATTTTTGAATATTTTTATTTTATTCCAGACTTCTTTTGTATTAGATTCTCTATTTAATGTGGCGCAAAAATTCCTAAAGGATTTTTTCTTTATCTCTTTTAAGGTCCTAGTGGTGATGGCTACCTGTTGCTTCATGTTAATGTAATTAGTTTCTGACGGATTATTAAGATAATTTCTTATGCTTGTTTTTCTTAATTCTATTGTTAGCGAGCACTCATTGTCCCACCATACAACTGGAGTTTTTTGTTTTTTTAAAGTAAATTGAGTTTTAGGGATTGACTTTTCAGATGTTTTGTATATGATGTTTGTTAGATCATTGTATGTTTGTGGTATTGACTCATTGTATAGTTCTAAGGATGTTTCAAAAAATTTTCCCCAATTTGCTTTTTTGAAGTTAAATCTGGGTTTATTAAATTTGCTACTAATTACATTGATATTATAATGAAAATTTGTGGTTGAATTTATATCTATTTTGATAGGAAAGTGATCGCTTGACCCTGAACATTCTTTTAAAACTGACCAATTTGCTGTTAAATTTAAAGTTGCATTACAGAAAGAGAGATCCGTAACACTTTTGTTTTGTCCTGGTAAACTGATTCTAGTAGCTGATCCATCGTTTAGACAATTAAAATTATTACCTGTCATGGAATCATATAAAATGTTCCCATTATGATCGTTTTTGGGATTGCCCCATGTTGTGTTTTTTGAGTTGAAGTCTCCACAAATTAATACTGACTTATATTTATAGCTTACATTACATAGTTCCTTAATGAAGGGTTTGTTGATTTTAACCCCTGGAGGATTGTATATGTTAATTATAGCTACATCATTTATTACTATTCCTAAACATGAGGTTCTAAATGGTTTATTGATTGGGTTTATCTCAAGTTTTTTGCTATCTAAATGTTTTTTGACAAGTATTGCTATACCGTTATTACGGTCGTCTTCAGCAATGTTATACAATATATATTTACTTATTCTAAATTTGTCATTGATTTTTAAGTATGTTTCCTGAAGTAGGATTACATCAGGCTCTTCCTGATGGATTATTATTTGTAAGGTTGGGTTGTTAGCATTTATACTTCTAATGTTCCACTGAATTACCTTTAAGACCCTGAATGTAATGTTTTTCTAACAGATGGAGGAGCAGATGAGTTTTTTTTTTTTTTTTTTTTTTTTTTGATGCTAATATGATGTGAGAGTTGATGAAGTGGCAGATTTGTTTTCCACCTCATAAACATACTCATCATCATTATTTTCATTTGGATTATTTAAGCGGATTGGAGAGTTTTGTGGGGATATTCCCCTTTTAGTTAAAATGTTTAAGATTGTTTGTGACAAATTAATTAGTTCGTTCGTATCTATGTCTTCGTTTAATAAATAGTCAGAAAATGTCATTTCAATTACAGATTTAGGTGTTTGTACTACTGAGTTGTAAGTTGGGATAGGTGAAATTGGCATTCTTGCCGAGTTGGGAAGAAGGCATTCCTTGTGTGCGTTTTGATCATAACCTATTGGAGGAGTTTTGGGAAGTTTACGCTTTTTATTGACAATTTCATTATATGATAAATTCTTACTTGGAATTCTGGGCAATGATCGGATGTTCTCAGTGACTTCTTCATAATTTATTTCCTTCCTGGGAAGGGGAGGGAAATGAGATAGGTTGTTCTGAAGTACTTTTTGTCTTGGACTTAAGTCTTGTCTTCCTTGCATTTGAGAGTTTATTCTGGGCACTTGTTGAGATGCTTCGAAATATGATAAATTGTTCAAGCTCATTATTTCAGCAATTCTTTTTTGTCTTAGTATTTCCGGGCATGATTTATTATTATTCCAATCTGAAATTGAATGATTGTTATTACAATATATACATTTATTTTTTTTTTCCGAATTACATGAATGATTTTCATTCATGTCGTCCCCACAGTTTCCGCACCTAGTTTTGCTTTTACATATGTTTTTTGAATGGTTGAATCTATAACAATTAACACATAAGATTACCGGTCTAATGTAAGCGCTGACCTCTAGTTTATTTGCATATATTGAAATATATTTTGGCATTCTTTTCCCTTTAAAGGTGAATATAAACGTACCTGTTGGAATGTAGTTAACTGTTTGATTCTCTGTAACTCTTCTATTTACTCTCCTAGCCGCTACTACCTGAGTGTGTTTGTTCTCTTCGTTTATTACTTTTATGATTTCTTCTTCTGAGAAGTTGCCAACTCCTTTGACTACTCCTTTGCATGTTACTAGATTTGCTGGAATAAATACCTGATATTCGCTATTTAACCATTCCGTGTTGCAAAATTCATTAGCTTCTTTGTAATTGTTAAATGTAATCATGACTCTATTTCTTCCTTTTTTTTCTATTTTGTTTATTCCTTTTATTTTTTTATTGAAGAGTAATTTACCTAGTTCCACTGGATGCAGGTTCCCTAGATTTTTTTCATTATTTTGGATTATCACTTTGTATGGGCCAATGTCACATTGATCGTATTTTATTTTCCTCAATATTTGTGAATTTGTGTCCGTATCCATCTTGTTCTGTTCTAGGTTTTGGTTTAATGGCGGTCCTGGACCCCCTTCGCCCGGCGTGGTTTCGGACATGTTCCTAGTTCTACTAGTTGTGTGTAGTTTTTGCTAAAATTTATTGCTCACTGTATTTCTTATGGTTTTTGATCTTCAATTCCTTTGGATTTATTGATTTTGGTCTGCTGATGGTTTGAATTTGCTTGGATTTACGCAATTTGTCACGTTCAGTTCAAGCGTCGTTCAAAAAGTCTGTCCTGCCGACTGCTCAAATGTCGAGACGGAAAAGAACGAGGAGACGTGTCTTATAAAATGTCAGAATCGAAAATAGAACTGTCAACCCCTGTCAACAACAGGAGTGCGTTTAGAAACCCCGCACGGCGCGTCTCACCACATACATTAGAATAGGGCCCAGACGCGCCGTGTGTGGTTTCTAAACGCACTCCTGTAGTTAAAAAGTGATGTGTGAAACTGACTTCAATCTGACAAATTAGAAGTGTACAGAATTGCCAACTTAAATTCAAATCGCTCCTCTTAGTTTAAAAACAGAGTATAGTAAAGATCAACGTAGACAAATATGTTTATTGTGATACTCAATATTTTTAAGTGACTGGTATATGTTTGTATCTACAATAGTTATACAGTAGTATTAAACATATTAATAGTTCTATCGAATGAAATGTTTTGGATATTGTTGTTTATTGTTTCTGAAGTAAAAATATATAGTTATAAAAGAAAATGAATTATAACTAGATGGTAAATACATAAAAGTCCCATAAAAATACTGCGTTTCACATTAAAATATATTGGCCCATGTCGATATTTACAAATCACCCTGTATAAATGGCACCCAATATCTTTTGTAATATCATCAGACATGATAAATATAGCAATAATTTATTTTTCAGTTAATATTTTTCCATTCTAGAACAATAAAAGAGTTTATCAAAAACATGTCCTTACTTATTTGTTGCCCACCCTGTAAAGGAAAATAATTTTTGACCGCTTTTTATATCCGTAGAATGCTAAAAAATGTTACAATAAAATTTTGCACAAAGAATTATAATCGACTAGCTTCCTCCTGAAATAACCGTTATCAAATAAGTGGTATTTCGTAAGTTTAACACCCTGTATCGGTCGAGAACTGCAACATTTCAAAAATTTATGACATTTAACAGGTCGCCACTTTTCCATAAGCGGTGTGCGGGGTCCTTTCTATAGAAAAAAAAAATTATTTTCAATAACCAAGGCTCAATCCAAGTGTTTTAAGCAAGTAACAATATAAAAAAGATGATATTAAACTGATAACTTTAGGTGAGATTTTCAAAATCACTTATAGTGCAAATTAAGAGGTTATTGAAGAGAACCCATATAGTGAATCACCCTGTAATTTTTTAAAACCCAAGTAGTTTTTAAAGTAATTGCATCTAATTATGAAATCAGATAATGAAATGAAATTTGATAGGTACCTTAATCATATTTCACATCACTCACTAAATATTCCAATTAAAGAAAAATCACAAACGGATTTAATCTCAAATAAGTAATATTTTACATTTTATAAAGCAGGAAATATAATTTTTTACAATTCTGCTCTTATACAATATAAACAGGTACTTTTCATCAAGTTTCTCGTATACCTACTAGCTAAGGGTTCATATGTTTGAATTTTAAGTTGTAGAAGAATGATGCAATATGAAATATGTGTGCATAGTACTTTGAGGAACGTTTGACTACAAATACATTTTCATAAATCTTTTTCTAACGAAGGCCATTTAGTTACGCCTTTGTGACTATATATACTGGATGGAATTTCATATTGTTATCAGTTTATTTCTGTTCCTGGTCCAACAAATACCTCTTAAACATTCAAAATGAAATTCATGGTAAGAAACACGTTTAATTTTTAATTATAAGGTTTATATATTTTTTAGGCTATATATTTTTTTTAATTTAAATTCCTAATTATTTTTGCTTCCTTTACTTCCTTGTCATTAGTCTTACGATCCTACTCCTCATCTAATTATCTGATGTGTAGGATATATCTGTATTTTTCCCTTTGAATACAACTTCATTTGAAGAATCCCTAGAATTTAAGCATGGAATTGACCCTGTTTAACTCTGAGATTTCCGAGTAACTTCTTCACTATGCACCCGTTTAAAGTTAACATTCCACTTTTCAAAAATGATAAAATGTACATTTTCTATAAACTAGTTATTTGTTATGATTAACATATATCTTATCCAAACATGATTGAACTATATCCACTCTTTTTCTGATTGACAGAATTTTCAGTTTCTTCTAGCACTAATCAAATCCTGTAAATTATTCCTTCTTGTGGCATCGATGATAGACTTGATTTAAATTTTGACAGTGTACCAAGAAACCTTCTCCACCTCGACTATTGAAGAGTTATTGTGACTAGGGGTGGGCAAAATAATCGATTAATCAATTAATATTAATTTTTTTAATCGACAATCGATTATTTTAGGTTAAACAATTATTTTCAAATTTTCGATCAATCGATTATTTTCGATTAATCTATTATTTTCGATTAATCGATTCTTTTCGATAAATCGATTATTTTCGATTAATCGATTATTTTCGATTAATCGATTATTTTAGAATATTAAATTATTTTAAATAATAGATAATCGATTATTTATTTTGATAATCACCCAGTCCTACTAGAGCTGGGCAAAATAATAATCGATTAGTCGATTATTTTTTTTAATTGATAATGGACCAATCAATTATTTTTGATTAATCAATTATTTATTTTGATAATCGCCAGCCCTAATTGTAACTATTCTTTTAGCGTTCTTAAGAGCACACCAGCTTAGGAAATAGCTCTGCTATATGAGGCCTCTAGAATTAAAGGGGTATAAGTACAATAATAAGCATTTTGAGATAATTGCATTTAAAGTTTACTGAATTTTAAAAAGTCGCCAAAAAAGCTAGAAAATAATTTATCTTGGTCTATATGTTGCAGTGGTAGTTCTGAAAATTGCTTGTATCTCTTTTATACCAAACAAATACGAACTTTAGGTAGTCATCTATGCACTTATCTCAGATTTGTTTACCATTGTACTTATACCCCTTTTATTCTAATCGTCTCATATGGGCAATTAGCTCTTGGTTTTCCTGGTTCCAGTGTGAGGAAACTTAGATAGACATTTGCTGTAAGACCGGCGGTGTACTGCCCTTTTGACCTTCTCAGCCTCTTGAGGGAATATTATGTTAACATCATATTGGGCCTACTCCTACTAATATTATGCCATGATGAGATATAGGGGTGAATTTTAGCGATAGTTTATCGATTGCGTTGTAATATCAATTACATTTTCCAATACTTATAGTCAACCAAACCCCATTATTTCAGTTAATACAAAGTTACTAGCAAAACATCTATACATACCTCCTCTTTTTTCCTCCATTTGGCTCTATTCTGTGATAACTAATGCACTTATATCGTCTATTCATCTCTGTTGAAGAGGTACAATGCTTCCTTTGTCTTATACATGAAGAAATTGTGATAATTAATTTGATTGTAATTTCATGTCTTGTTCTATTAAGTTTTCGGATCGAATATGATACTATTCCCATCAAGATTATCTTAATATCCCTTGTGTAATGGTGAATATATTTGTAGTTTCCATTCCATTAGAAATTACGGACATAATACAAGAATTATTATTATTACCTACTAGGAACATAAAATATTGCAATACCTCATTTTTACTTGAACATTCAACTCTAATTTTCATAATGTCTCTTTCAGATTGCTCTCGTTCTCTTGGCTTTCGCCACCTACGCCCACGCATCTGCCATCGGCCTAGGCCTTGGTCTCATCAACCCATTGGCTCTTAGCCCAATTGGACCCTCTGGAATTGTCACCGGAGCTGGAGCTGCCGGACCTTCCGGTGTCGTAACTGGAGCTGGAGCTGCTGGACCCGCTGGAATTGTCACTGGAGCTGGTGCAGTAGGACCTACTGGACCAAACGGACTCGGTGTTGCAGTAATCGGCGCTCCTTTGGGATTGGGATTGGGTTTGGGAGGACACGGTTTGGGATTGGGATTAGGTGGATTAGGATTGGGATTGGGTGGATTGGGACTCAAAGGTTAATTTTAATAATTTAGGGTATAAAATTTTTATTTTTTTCATAAAGGACTGAAAGGAGATGAATAGTTGTAGATAATTTTTGCAATAAATAAATGTTTTTCTTATAGAAAATTTGTTATTTTCTTTGCTAACATTATTATTTATTACTCTCAGTGAATCAACCCCCAAATTTATTTAACACCATGGTACTATAAAAAGAAGGTATGATATTACGCAGAATGATACTACGTCACGCTGACGAATTGAGGCGCGGAGGCGTGGTTTTTAACATTTGAGGTATCAGCTGAGCATTACCTCTTATGAAAATATAGCACTCTAGGTATTATTAATATTTTTTTAAAGATGATACACATTCTAATTATTGTACCCTAGATAGATTTTATAGTTTGTGGTTGACAAACGGCATATTCAGAACATCTGGAGGTACTTTATATCTTTATAGGGGGTCGTTTTTCTATTATATGGAATATATCCGTTACTTACGTTTGGAGAGGAAAATTCTTCAAATAAAAGTTGCTTGTAATGTTATTCTCTAATATTTTTGTCTTATATATGTTTCTAAAAATTCGTATTTAAAAAAAAAAAAATGTTCACATAAAAGTTTCTGATATTATTCTCTATAACTCTTGTTTTATACATGGTGCATTAATATTTTATGATCAGCTTAATTTTGGGTAAAGTCGAAGCAGCTGGGGGGGGGGGGGGTGGGGTGGGGTGGGTGGGGTGGGTTAGAGCCCAGATAGCACAGGACGTCCCACGGACGTCCTGATTTGGTCCCTTGTTGGTCCGGGACCTAAATAGGACGTCCGCTGGACTTCCAATTACAGTGAACACTAGGACGTCCTTCGAAGGACGTCCTCTGGTCCCGTTTCGACAAAGCGTTTAGGTTTCGGTCCGATTCCGGGACGTTAATGGGACGTCCAAGGGACGTCTATGGGACTTTTTTATGTACTAGTATCGTTGGTCTTTGAATCGATAACTTGAAATTCAACGTTTTGTTTTTGCAAGAGTATGAGCACAGAAAACCTAACCTATCATTTATTTTCAAATGAACAACAACCGCTACAATTTTCGGCATTCAATAATTAACTTATATAAGTGAGTTAGATTAACGTAGACAAGTATTACAAATTAAAAATTTAAAAAAACCGACTTCAAAAACGTGCAGATGCCATCACCATATCTTAACCAAATTTATATGGGACCACCCCTGAGGTACCCCCTTACTAACAAAAAAGAATCGTATAAATCGGACAAGGTGGTAAAGCATTATCGCTAAACATACATAAAAAATGAAGAGTTTGAGGATTTTCTCAAGGATCAAATTATTAGATTTTGACCAAATTTATATGGGACCACCCCTAAAGCAACCCCTTTCTAACAAAAAAAGAATTATTGAAATCGGACACCGTGTTAAAAAATTATCGCTGAACATACATAAAAAATGAAGAGTTTGAGGATTTTCTCATGGACCCAATTATTAGATTTGTACTAAATTTATATGGGACCACCCCTGAAATATCATCTTTCTAACAAAAAAAGAATCATTAAAATCGGACACCGTGTTAAAGAATAATCGCTGAACATACATAAAAAAAAAATATCGCGACGAATTGATAACCTCCTCCTTTTTTTTTTGAAGTCGGTTAAAAAAAGAAGGTTATATAGAGTTATTTGTTATTTTTTTATGTTGGTGGTAAAGTGGTTATAAAGTGAAGTGAGTGTTTTGTGTGAGGTGAGAGATGTGTTTTGTGTGAGGTGAGAGATGTGTATTGGCGGTAGCCGCTGGCGGAAAGAAAATACCTTAATGGCGGAAAGTTGGAACAAAACTAATTTTGACAAAATTATAACACTCAGTTATGTCGACACAAGCTATAAGTAGGACCCAAGGTTTTATCTTACCAGCGCTGTATGTTAAATTTAATTCATTCCTGTTTTTTTTGTAAACTGAAAACGTTTAACTCTAGCCAGTTTTTCAGGATAAAAGTTGTTAAATAAAGCTCTTTTATTGTTATCATTTTTGTTATTATTACAATTTATGAATTATGATCAAATATCGTCCCTCGGACGTCTGATTTACGTCCCTAGGACGTCCCGCAACGGTCCCTATGACGCCCTTTTGGGATGTCCGAGGGACGTCCCAAAGATGGACGGAAACGGGATATTAGGACGTCCATTGGACGTCCGATTGACGTCCCGGTACCAAAAGAGGACGTCCCTCGGACGTCCTTTATGTCCCTGAAGGACGTCTTTTAGACGTCCATAAGACGTCCGTGTACTATGTGTGAGGGTGTCTTTTTTTACTTTAATGAAAATTCCACACCTGTAATTTTGAACCAATCAAAATACGTGTTTTTGACAGATCACCATGGCAACGGAGGTATTTTAGTGGAAATTTTTTTCTCGTGGGGTACCCAACAGCGAATTATACTGGAAATTTTTTGACGTTTACAATAACAGACCATTTTTGACAGACTGGTTTTTATTTGTTCACATAATAGGTTTAGTTTTGATACATTTTAGTTACAATGCTAAGGTGTTTTCTATATTCTTCGGCCACTTCTTTTCTTCTTAATGGCGAAAATGCAGGACTTTGGATGCTTTGAATTATGTGTCTATGTCTAATAAAATATATATAATATTTAGACACTAATTTATTCACCTTTTTCCCATTCAGCACTTTGAATTTTGCGTAGTTTAGGTGCAAATATTCGTGGACAATTCGGAACAAATTTTCGTTTTTCAAGTTGGAGCCACAATCCTCTATTAATCCGAGTAAGTAAGTCATGGTGCAATGATTGATCATTACATCAGATAATTTCACGCATATTTTGCATAGCGTATGATTTTCAAATCGATTCATTTTTAAACAAATAGGTAATTTTGTTGGTTTTACTTGCTGTGCAATATTCTTTATCGCAACAAAACGCGAGTTATTTAATGTTTTGAACTGTCAAAATACAATGATCACAGCCTCCTACGATTGATGCTTGCTGACGCTGGTTATGAATTTCATACCATTTTAAAGCGCTCATAACGCATGTTAATAAAAACGCAGAAAAACAATTTTCTACCACTTGTAGTTATTCAAAACTTACGTAAAATTAAAGAATATACTATTTTCTATTTTCAAATGGTATTCCCATGCAACTACAATGAGTAGAAATAAGCGATTTGAAGGCCTAAATAATTGCAGCGAAACATTTTTTTACGTCGGGCCGCTTGACAACTTCAAAACTGAAATTATATTCGAGGTTAGGGTCTCACTTAGTTACCATGACAACTCAACAATCAAGGCGACAACACCTTTTATGTTTCACTGGTGACTTGGAGAAAATAATTTGCATTGTTGAGAAACGAAAAATAAATTTTAAAAATATTTAATTTTCAACCATAATTCGGCGTGGAATTTTCTTACCGAATACCACGCGAGGTCAAATTAATATCAGGAAATAATTTGACCTCTAGTGGTATTACTAGTGAATATATTATTGTTATTTACGATTTGAGACAAAAATTCTTCAAATAAAAGTTGTTTGCGATATCATTATCTATAAATTTTTGTTTTCTACACGATTTCTTTAACATGGACTGTAATGGATCGTAGTGATGTCCCCTTTATTTTTTATGGCTATCGGTAATGTTCCCTTTCTTTACAGATAAAGCTATAATGATTTGCTCTCATTTTTTGTTCGGATCCAGACTCTTCGGTTTTTAGTAGTTTGTTGTTGATGTTTTTTTATGTTCAGGTTTAATCGCCATTAAATACACAATAGCCAGCACGTTTAATATTTTATTAATATACGTAATATTACACTCGAATTTGATACATGACGTAAAAGTGTAATGCAAAGGTGCGCACATTTTTAGCATCCTCATAGCATCTCCTCTTTATTAGGCAAAAACGGTTGCATCTACCATCTACCGGAAAGGTTATGGCGTCGGTATTTTGGTATGCAAAAGACATTATTTTTATTGATTACCTTAAAAAAAGTGAAACAATAAATGTACAACATTATACTAACTTGCTTAATCAACCGCAACAGAAAATTCTAGACAAAAGACCTATGATGACTAAAATTAACGAAATGAGCTTTGAAAAACTACCTCATGCACCTTACTAGCCAGACTAGGCCCGTTCGGAAAAACTTATGCTGGCAAGAGTGTGTTCTATTCGGAAGTTATTACCAGTATAAATGCATATTTTGAAAAGCTGGAATAATCGATCTATAGAAGCGGTATAAAGGGCCTTGAACTTCGTTTGGCGTAGTGTATTAAATAACAAGGAGACTATGTAGAAAAATAAAAGGATTTTTGACTCTGTATTTGTTTTGTCTCTTTTAGGCTGGAAATCCTCGTATACAAGTTAAAATTAAGTAAAATTAAAAAGTTGGTATTCACGAAAACTAGTTGTTATACGATCTGATTTCTCCCTAATATTTTTTGATAACTGATTTTGGTAATTAGCTAAGTTTTTGGGTACACTTTGTATATTTTGGCGGTATCTTTCTGTGTCTTGTTAAGTTGAAATATTAATGTGGTACATACCTTGTATTTGTGAATGTTTTGTGTCATTTCAGATTAGAGTTCTCTCCTAGAGTGCCTATGGTGATAGGTTTTCTTCGGGGCCTGTCGTGGTGGCACCCAGATTTTAGCTATTTTTTAATTTTTGTATAAATGTTTGGTTATTGTGGTAGTGGTCATGATGTCACTTGCAACAACAGTTGTGTCCTAGAGTGCCTGGGGTAGCTCTTATGTTTCCAGCTTAAGGCTGTCAGTGGAAATTCTTTGGGTTTCTCTGTAGTGAAACTTGTGGCTCGCTGATTGCATTTGTTAATCGGTACTTACGAATTTCTAACTCGCTGTTTAATGAATTTGTCGATGGGATGCCTGTGATACTTCGTGATGCATTTAAACTCCTCATTTTTTGCCAATATTGTTATCCCTCATACTTTATCAGTGGAGAGAGTTTATTTTTATTTTCTTTAGTTTGATTTTGATAATGCATATGACCCAAGTTCGACAGTATGATCTAATTACTTACTTTGATAATCATGTGATGAATCCACGAACATTACGTCTAAAACGACCCGAGGTTTTAGCTTGACCTAGT